GGACACCGTCGGCTGCTTGTGCCAAACGTTACATGCATTTTGTCTGGCAGTTCTGCCCTCTCAGCCGCGAGGAATTGGCCAGCCTTCCAAAGACAAACTCGTGGCCTCCTCGCCCCCACACCCCATGTGCCCAGGTGGGCAAGCGGCCAACTCCCCCCCCCCAGCAGGAGACGCGGCGGTCTGTTTGCATTAGCAGCCCTGCTGTTTACAGCAAACGGGCTCTGGGGAGACTCGCAGCCCTTTACGAGGGTTTTACAACACACACACACACACACACACACACACACACACACACAGAAAGAGAGAGAGAGAGAGAGATGGAAAGGCGGGGGGGAGGGAACCTGCAGCGAGAGGGAGGAGGTGAATCCGAGAGGCGCAGCCGCTTTCGATGAGCAGGATGGGGCTGCGCGCCTCACCCTTCTCTTTTATGCGGCGGGCTCGCACCTGGCGGGTCTGGGGAGTGGGGAGTGCACGCCCCCTCCCACTTTCCAGCTTCGCCTTTTGGAGGAGACATTGAAGCAACTCAGAGGCCCCTTTGTCTGCCCACTGTGCACGAGTATAAGCACATGGCGCCTTCCCACGATCCGTGGCTACCCTGGTCCTTCCACCCAGCAGCCCCCGTTGGGGGGACGTACCTTTCTGGCAGTTGCTGGACGTCCAGCAGCGGTACTCCAAGGGCCCAGCTAGGCCAGCAGGGGTCTGCACGCACGGCTCCTCCCCGCCCAGGATGCCCGGGCAGACGTCGGCGCACTCCTCGGCCGGCTTGTTGTGCAAGATGATGTTCTGCTCGAGCGCGAGTGGCGGCTGCAGCAGCGCCCAGTCGATGGTGGAGATGTGGCAGAGCTCCTGGTTGCGCTCGATCCTGACCGAGCCGTTGAGCACGTTGGTCAGGCTGCGCAGGCCGATTTCGCGCAGGTGAGGCATCTCGAAGATGACCAGGGCGTAGCTGAAGAAGAGGCTGCCCCCGCGGATGACAGCCAGGCTGGGGAAGAGGTCGCGCAGGCTCTCCAGCCCGTAGACGCGGAAGAGCAACAGGTATTCGGTGATGAGCACCAGGCGCGGGAAGGCCAGCGAGCGGAAGTCCTCGCTGCTGGCCGTGAACATCAGCAGGATCTGCAGGCTGCCCTCAATGACCGAGCAGTTCTCCAGGCGGCGCAGCTGCGCGGGATCCACGCGGATGTCCATGCTCTCACAGACTGCGGGGCCAAGTGGAAAGTTAGGAGCTCTCCAGCCGCCCTGCGAAGCCTTTCCTCCTTTCTCCCCGCTCCCTCTCGTCAGTTGCTCTGTGTGCCCAGCCTTCCCTGGGCAAAAGTGCAGGCCAGAGATTGGCTCAGGGACGGCCCGGTGTGGCTTAGGATGAGGCGCCATGAAATGGCCCCAAAGGGGCTCCGTCCCTCCAGGGAGAGTGGCTGGCGTGTCCCTGCAGGTGCTCCCTTGCAGCCCACCCTGGTCTGTGCCAACTGCCTCACTGCTCACGAGGGGCCTCTTGTCCTTGACCTGTCCCAGCAACGGCTGGCAAAGTGCCCGGTGAGCAGGGCTGCCATCTGGACCTTCCTTGGAGCCCCTCCCCCGAATCTGGCATTTGCACAGGAGCCCCAAGGGCCCCCTGCCCCTGCCTGCTGCTGCAGTGCCAAGGTAGCATCCTCCAAGCTTGGCACCATCTGGAGGCACAGCTGGCACAGCAGCTGGATTCCAGCCGGGGGGGGTGAGGGGGGCTTTAGACATCTTAGGGGGCCCATCGTATTAAGAGCCCCTCCTCCAGATCCCTTCCTCACCCATTTCTGCTTTATCAAGTAGCCCTCACGCTTGCTGGCCAAGTCCAGGCCCAGAGGACTCCGGGCACAAGAGAGGGATACCAGCTCAACCAGGAAGGAGCTGGTGCCCAACCAACATCCCCCCCACTTCTGCCCCCACTTCTGCCCGCGGGCTCCGTGCCCCCTCCTCCCTGGGAAGCGCCTCCTGAAGAGGGAGGAGGGCTGGGTTCGGCTGCTGTTTAAACAGGTGCCGTTTCTCTGTTCCCAGCCTTGTGTTTGCTGAGGAGGCTCTGAAGAGGGGGGGGAGGACCCCACAGGTGGTGGGGTTGGCATCACAGCAGCCCAGTTCCTGGCATTGCCCAGCCCTCATCCCGTCGCCTCGGACAGCCGTGCCCCAAACGCATCCCTCCTCTTGTCAAAGAGAAGAAATGGCAGGAAGGCGGGAAGTCACAGCCAGCCTTGGTGAAGTTGCCCTCCGACCTTCCTCCCTGGGGCTCAGAGCGGAAGGCCGGCACAGGGGACCCGCCTGTCCTCAGCCCTGGAAGGAGGTGGGGCCACTGCATGACCCCATCCAGGGACCCAGCCGGCGGATCCTCACCGCCTGTAAAACAACCCCAGCCAAAGTCTCAGCGACCCAAACTCGCGTGAGGTCTTGGATGGACAGGGCCGGGCCTGGTCTTTGACCCCCAGGGCCTCTCTCTTCCGGGCCGGAGGTGGGAAAACCTGGAAGGAGCATCGATAGCTTTGCTTCCTTGATGGAAACTACCCAGAAGAATCGATAAATATCTGCCACAGGGTGGAAACTGAGAGGTGGAGGAGAACCAGGGCTCAATTTGGCCCAACTTTGCCCTTGGCCCTTTCAGTCCTGGGGCTGGTCTTGGCGGAGGGGTGTCCTCTTCTATGGTCCTTGGCTTCTGCCCCCCCACCCCCCTGCTTTCTCTTTGGGGCAGGGAGGAGGGACCCCCCCCAATGATTCACTCCTTTCCCCGCTTTAAAAAACAACAGCAGCCTTTCCTTTTAAAAACTGCAGAAACTGGAAGGAAGCCTCTGAATTAGCAGATGCTGCTAATTAATGGCTTGTTAATTGATGAAATGCCTCGTTAGATGCCCATCGACTTTGCTGAAAAGCACCCCTGCCAGTTTTAGAACCCGGGTGCCCCCTCCCCCCCCCCCCGGCTGCCATCCTGGTTCCAGCTAGGAGCCTCCACACAGCTTAATGGGGAGGGAGGGGCGAGTGGGTCCCTGGAGGTGCTCCTGCTTTCTCTCCTCCCTTGGGGGGGGCGGGGGGGGCAGCCCTGGCTACTTTTTCTGCCTTTATTACAATCCCCATTTCTGTCCTGATGCCAGTTTCTCCAACCAGCCCTTTTCATCCAGGAGCGGCCAAGAGCTCAGTTTCTCTCACACAGACGCACAAACGAGCAGACTTTAAGGGCTTCCCTCTGACTGGAGCCACGAGCCAAGCTCACACAAGACCCTAAACTTTGAATGCCGGTTTCATAGCCACCCTGGCTAGTTTGAGCTTGAGATGTGCCACCTCAAATCCCGGCATCCAGTGGATGGAGCCACCAGTTGATGCCCCCTAGGCTGACCCAGCCCGGCTCCGCCTGTGCCCTGGGCACCCCAGATGGGAACGGGCTGGACAGCAAAGTCCCGTGCCTTTGTGCCTGGCCGGAGGCTGACCTCACTCAACCCAGGAGGGACTTACTTTCTGGAGAGGCTGGTGCAGGGCCGAGCCCCAGCAGGCAGAGGACGAGCAGGGCCCCCCGGATGGGCCACAGGTGGGCACCAGAGTCTCGCCGTCTCCCCTTCTTCTCCATGGTCCATAAACGGCCCGGCGCTGGCAGGAAAGCGAGTGGCAGGGCAGCCTGCAGTGCTTCGGACAAGGGGGGGCCAGGCTGGCTTCTCGGCTGGCAGCAGCCCTGGACTATCGCTTGGTGCCAGGGGGGCCCAAGAGAGGGGAGCCCCCTGCTGCCTGTGGGGCCTTGTCCCTGACCACCAACATCCTCCGGCATGTTCACACCGCAGCGAAAGGGCTGGGAAAATGGAGGCACGGCCAGCTGAGAGCCCTAGGTGTGGCAGGTGGCTGGGTGGGGCCGGGCCTCCTTCCTCCCTCGTGCACCACCACCCCCCCCGGCCCTGCCTGGCCGCCTGCCACGGCTGGATGCGTTCCAAGGGCTGTTTTCACCTGTTCCCTTCAAAATATTTAGCCTGACAACTCCAGCGAGATGGGCTGGGACCCACAAGCGCTGCCCTTCGTGTTTGGTCAATAAGCAGGGGGGGAGCCACAGGCCCAGGCGCTTCCCCTACCCCCGTTCAGGGTGGGATTTGGAGGGGGGGGCAATGGTTGAGGAGCCCTGGGAAAGGAAGCAGCGAGGTGACCCCCTCCCCCTTCCTCAGAGAGGCAAAGCACCCAAGGCCTTTCAGCTCAGCAGGGGGACCTTGGGGTGCAAAGAGGCCCAGGAGGGCAGAGCCAAGGGATCCCCCCCCGCAGGGCGCTTGATGGCCCCCAGGAAGCTAAGAGGACAGTGGGCGAAGGGGCTCGTGCCCTTTAATTCAGGGGTTTTCCTCCCCCCCTCCAGCAGGCCCAGTGTCCTGGCTGTTTTCTTTGCCCGGCCAGTGGGAGCCCAGGCCCACCGCCCGGTGGGTGAACTGGGGAAGGCGGTGGGCACTTTCCCCCAGAGAGGGAAGTTGGCGCCAGAGCTCTCAACGCTGGGAGTGAGCTGCCCCCTGGTGGACATCCCTGGCCCCTGCAGCCAGCCGGAATTGTGTGGGAGGAGGAGGAGGAAGAGGAAGAGGAGACCTTTGGGGGGGACTTCTTGGCGCCTGGGCAGCTTAGCCTCTTGACCACTCTCTGCCTGTCCTTGCATCGACCACCTCATTGCTGTGACCACTTCGCCATCGGAATGCAAACCCGTGACACACAAAAGAACAACACACAACACCTTCTTGTGGGGCTTTTCCCCTTTTGACAAATACGAGTATATATATATATATTTTGTTTCAAAGTTACAGTCGGCCAGGCCGTCGCTCCCGGCTGCTCTTGGTCAGGCGCTTGAGGACGGTTCTCCAAACAAAGCAGGGGGCGTCCGGGGGTTTGGTGGGGTGGGGGGGAGCAGCAAGGGGCCCTCCCCACTGCATGGAAAGGGCCTTTCCCCACACCCCCAGAGTCAAGGAGAGCAGAGGCCCCCCAGGACCCCCGTCTCAAAAGGGAGCCTCCGTTCCCCTCCAGGACCCCACTGAGGCTGCCCCCCCCCCACACTGCGCTGAGCAGGCTCCCATTTCTGGCCACTCAGAAGAGCCAAGCGCTGCCTCCTTCGGTGGGGGGGTCTTTCCTCCCACGTGGTCGCCCTGGCCTCTGAGCATGGGCAGAAGGACGGAGGCTGGCTGAACTCAGGAGCAGATGCTTCGACGCCTGCGGAGCAAGACTCCCGGGCTGCAGGGCTGGTCTTCCTGGTCGCTCTCGCAGTCCCGCTGCAGCCCAGAGCCAGGAAGGGGAGAAGGTCAGGGGGGGCAGGCAGCCCTCCCCCCCCACCCCACCCCAAGGCAGGGAAAGGGCTCCTCCCCTGCACCCACCAGGGCCAGGGCCTCCTTGTCCGGCGTCTGCTGCTGGCACAGGAGCCGCAGGCGGCAGAGACGGTTGCAGGCCGAGACCATGTGGAAGGACAACTGCGGAGGGAGGAGAGAGGCTGAGGCTGGGACAGGCGGCCCATGGGGCAGGGGTGGGTGGGTGGGGTGCCAAGCGGCTCCTCTGCTGCTGAGCTGGGGGGGGGGGCTCACCTTCCACTTCCGGCGAGCGTTGAATTTACGGAAGTTTTTCATGTTGATGGAGGAACGGCTCCGGTTCATGGCCTGCTTCCGGGTGAGGGGCTGGAGGGGCAGGAGGAGAAAAAATTGGAAGGGAGGGAGGGAGGAAATGAGGGAGGGAGGGAGGGAGGGAGGGAGGCTTACCTTGATCCAGGGATGAAGGAGACACTCGGTGGCCGTCATTCGGTCCCTAAGACACAGACCAAAAACCATTTTCCTCCTTGGGGGCGGAAGGGAGCCAGGAGGGACCCCATTGGGGAGAGCAGCCATCCCGCCAACAGGTGCTACTCCTCCCTTTTATTGTCGTGGTCCTTACTTTCTGCTCCAGGAAGGGCGCTCTCCCCCCTCCGGGTGCTGTTCCTGCCCAGGGGGGGCATCCACGGGGCGTTACCTGGGCTCCTTCAGCAGGAGTTTCTGGATGAAATCCTTGGCCATCTCCGAGGTTTGGCTGAAATACTTGGCCTCGAACTCATAATTCCCGGAGACCACGTTGGAGAGGGTCTCCTCATCCGTCTCCCCCTGGAATGGGGACATCCCGCTCAGCCTGGGGGGGGGGGAGGATTGGGGGGGCATCAGAGCCACCACGCTGGACCAGAGATCCATCCTCCCCCGGCCCCAGGCAGAAGGAGCCCACCAAGAGCCCTCAAGAGGTCAGTCCAAAAGGGGGGCAGGGAAGGGGGGCCGTTTGGGGGGGGGTCTGAGCCCAAACTTTAGTTTCCCGATTGCTTCCATTTCCCTTTTTCAAAGCTGGCCAAATTCCCTCGGAGCCGAACCCTGCCTGCCCCCAAAGTCAACTCCATCCCCTTCAGAGTCTGCTGAGGGGGGGGGCTCCCAGCACTTCCCTCCCCGGGGAAAAAAACCTTCAGGTACTTACAAGATGTAGGTGATCACCCCAATGCTCCTAGGAGTAAGGAAAGGGAGAACTGAAGGCCCGGGGGGGGGGGGGCTCTTCTCGGCTAGAGGTCATTTCTGTCCCCAGAGACCTTGTCAAGGTACACACAGGGAGGGGTGGAACAAAGAGGCCCCCCCAGGCCCTCCCTCCCTCCCTCCCTCCCCCACCCGCCAGGGGTGTTCCCCCGCGCCGCGGCCGCCCCCCCCCCCCCCCCCGCTTCGTCCTCGCTCCCCCATGGCTGCCTCTTACCACATGTCTGTGGCTGTGCTCAGGGCCTCGTAGTTGATCACTTCAGGAGCTGGGGAGGAAAAAAAAACGGAGGGGGGGAAGGAGGAGACCAAATTGGGCTCCCCAAGACCTCCTCAGGCCCCCCCCCCCAGCTGCCAAAATTCTGTTTCCCCCGCAGCCGGGGGGGGGGCAGGCGTCTTCAGGCCGATAAGGCAGCCCCCTGCTTTCCCCAGAGCGAAACCGTCCCGGCCTTCTCCCGGCCAGGGCCTGGCTGCGACCGAAGTGGGGCTCGGGGAGGCCCAGGCGGTTCCTCGGCCTCCCTGTTTCTGTGGGCCCAGAGTCCTACCGATGTACTGGGGGGTCCCACAGAGGCTTTTGTAGGCCACCCCTTCCTCCAGCTTCTGGGCCAGCCCAAAATCGATGATCTTGATCTTGGGATTCGGGGCGTCCTTCGCCAGCAACATGATGTTCTCCGGCTGCAGGAGAGAGAGAGGGGAGACCGCTGGGTGCTTCGGCCTCCCACCCAGCCTCTGGCACGGGGCACCCCGGAAGCCCCCTGGCCGTACCTTGAGGTCGAAGTGGGCGACCCGGAGGCCATGCATGTAGGCCACGCCACGCAGGATCTGCTGCAGGAACTCGATGGCTTCGTCCTCGGAGAGCAGCTCTTTTTCCGCAATGAAGTCAAAGAGTTCACCTCCCAGGATGCTGCAGAGAGGCGAGGGGTGAGCGGCTCCTGGAGCCCCCTAAGGCCCCGCCCAAGCCCCCCCCCAAAAGGGCCCTTTGGGAGGAGGAGGAGGAGGAGGCGCTTCCCCGCTGGGCACTCACAGCTCCAGGATCAGCACCATCTCGGACTGGTTGGCAAAGACGTCGTAGAGGTGCATGATGTTGGGGTGCTGCAGCTGCTGCAGGATGCAGACCTCGCGCTCCACCTGCTCCCGGTCCAGCCCCAGCCGGCTGCCCTTGCGCTTCCGCACCTTGACGGATTTGGCCGCATAGAAGACGCCGGTGCTCCGTTCCCGGCAACGCCGGACCACCCCGAAGTGTCCGCTGCAGGGGGGAGGTGGCAGGAAGGGCAGGGGGGCTAGAAGTCAGGCGCTCCACAGAGGGGCCCCTCCTGTCCTGTGGGGGACGGGCGGGGGCGGCCAAGGGGGGCGATGAGGCCCAGGAGACCCCAACGGCCTTGGTGGGTCACAGGAGCCTCTCCACCTGCTTGCCTTCTTCACAGCCCTGCAGGGAGGAGGAGGAGGAAGGGGCAGAGCGGCAGGCCTCACCTGCCCAGCGTCTCCAGCAGTTCGTAAAGCTCCTCCACGCTGCAGTGGCGGAAGGGACCCGCACTGGGCCTCGCCTCGGTGCCCAGGAAAACCTCATCATCTTCCAGGCTGCATGGGGGCACCTGAGGCAGCAGGAAAGGAGGTGGCTGAGTGGCAAAGAGTGGCACCCCCGCCTGAGCTACAATTCGGCCTGGCTGGCAAGAGGGAAAGGGCTGGGGTACGGGGGGGGGGGGGGGGGGGGGGGGGGCTGTGTGAGCAGAGGATTCCCTGGAAGAGACAAGGGGAGTGGCCTAGACTGGGGGTGGGGTTGCTGGAGAGGACCTGGGAGCGCTTTTCCTCCCTCCACCTCACCCCAATTTCAGTCCCTCCAGCCATTCGATGCAGCAGCCGCAGTTCACAATATCTGCTTTTGAATCCACCTGGTTTCTCTTTCGGATGGGGTGGGACTCCTATTTCTTCCACCCTGTCCCAGACCCCTCGGGCTATCTGCAGGAGGCAGCAGGGGGAAGGAGGCAGGGGAAGGCCGGGCCTGGTGTCCCCCCTCACCTGGATCCCTGCAGCCCCCGGGTTGCCAGGGCAGGTTTCGGTTCCATCTCTCGCCATCAGCTGCAGAGGGAAGAAAGCCAGAGGGTCGCTCTGGGCAAGCAGCAGGGGGCTCTTCTGCCTCGCGCCCCCCTCCGCGCTATCCAAACGGGAGGGGGGGACACCCCGCGTCATGTCAGGCTGCCGGCCGGACCCAGAAGCCGGAGGAAGACACCTTCAAGGAGGAGGGACTGTACTGGAAGCAACGGGGGTCTTCCGCATCCCCCCCCCCGCCGCGTCCTGGCCCCACCCAGCTGGACGCCACTCCCGGGGAGGAGAAGGGCTCCCCCGCCTGGTTCGAGCGGAGCAACTTCCGAGCCGGGAGGCGCCTGCCTAGCGCCCGGGCCGAAGCCGCCCGCTTTTCTGCCCCTTACCGGACGCGGGAGGCTCCTCCCGCTCCTCCTCTCTCAGCCTCCCCCCGAGAGGGACCCTCCGGCCCGCGGCTGCAGCGGCTCCCCCGCTCCCCCCGCCCAGGGCGGGCAGTCGGTCGCCTCCGCTTCCTGGTGCGTGAAGCTTCGCCCGCCCGCGGGAGGGCAACGGAGCTGCGCCGCGCACCTGCACAAACGGCCCAGCCGGGCGGCCTCCGGAGCCCCGAAGGGAACCCACCGCATGTCCGTCGGCGCTGGGTTGATCCGGCGGCCTCCGACAGAGGCCTGGAAGGAGCGGGGGGGGGGGGCGCTGGCCAGGGACCTCGATCCCCAGTCGCCACGGCCCGCAATCGCTCCGCCAGCTCCGGCCACGCGGAAGCGGCGGCCTCGGGATTCTCCCAGGCAGGTCGCAGGCAGGAAAGGCGGCTCGGAGGACGGGCTGGCCGCGCCCTGCCCCGAACACGGCCGCCTCCTGCGTGTCTGAGCGCCCCCACCGCCTCGGCAGCAGCTTCCCCTTCTCGCCCCCCCCCCCCGCTCGCCCCCAGGGCTGCAAAGCTTGGCTGGGGTGGGGGGGTGCAGATCGCTCCGCAAAGGCAGAGCCAGGTGCCTGGGGGCTGCGGGGCTCCCCCTCCCCTCTTCCCAGTGACCGAGATGCACCTCAAACGCCTTTGGAGGTTGGCGGGCCGCCAGGCAAGGAGGGCACCCGGCAGCTCCCCTCCTGCCCACCAGGCCCGCATCCCGTGGCAGAGGCAGGGCAGCAGGCGAGGGGCTGGCAGGGCGGCCGCCTCTCGGGAGGCCGATGCAGCGTGGAAAGAGGCCGGCAGAAGGAGGGGGAGTCCCACCCTCCGCTCTCGGGAGTCCCCTGGGCAGCCGAGGAGAGGTGCCTGCTGAGGCCCTTCGGAAAGTTGAGCAGGCCCCGAGGGTCTCAAGGGAGCATCGCAGCGGGGCGGGGGGCGGGGGGCGGGGAGAGGTCCCCAAAGACAGGCTCCCTCCTCCCCGGCCAGGCTGCTTTCCTTTCCGGGCGGGCTGCGGGCTGCCGCGTCCCCTGGAATCGGCCCCTTCATTCTGCCCGAGAATATCTGGACTTTCGGTCTCCGGCCCAGGAGAACAAAGGCCTCATTTAAAGGCGAGGGAAGAGCAGGGCTTAAATGGACAAATGTGTTGCAATTCCTGGATTCTTGATCCTCTTCCAGCCCTTTTATGCAGGCCAGGAATGTCATAAATACGGGGGATTTTGGCCGGCGGGCAACGCAGGCGCGGCCGAGGCCTGGTTCCGCGGGGAGGCTTGGGGAAGGGGCGCTCAGCGACCACCTCCAGGAAGAATCGCAGCCCCCCCCCTCCTCTCCCGCAAACAAGCATACTGTGTTTTTCTGACGGGATCCTTTCCGAGCTCAGCCCACCCCCTCAGGGTACAAAACGCCCGTCGGGGAAAAAGGAAAGGAAAACAAATCTGCCCGCATTTTTTGCAGCTTGAGTCATATCTCAACCCTGGAAGGAGGCTGGGAGAGAGGCAGAAATCCCACGGCCTCACTGGATTGAGAGGGGAGCGTCTCCGCTTTCCAAGACAGGGAGGTCCTCTGAGCGCGGCCTGCCATCGGCTACCTGGACAGGTGTCTTTTACATTCGCTCTCTCCCGTGTCCTGGCATCAAAGAAACGGGCCCAATTTCTCGGGACCCGTAAAGGTTTCGCGAAGGGCTTCTTCCTTCTAGCGGCAGTTGTCTTCGGTTCCTCCTTTGGCTCGACCCGGCTCTTCCCGCCCCGCCGCCCCCGGGGGCCCAGCACGCCTAAACGCGTCCATCCTTTCAGCACCAGCCTCCCCTCCCGACCACCGCGGAAAGCGCCCGCCCGGGGTACCTACGGCTCAGGCACGGGAGGGAGCGCGATCCGGAGCGCCCGCCGCCGCTTCCTCGCTGGAGTGCGCTGGAAGCCGCCCCCGCGCCGGGACGGCGGCCGCCCCCCCCCCCGGCCCCCGCAGACCGGCTCGGCCCCTTCGCGCTGCCTGCCAGACCCTCCTGGAGGAGGAGGAGGAGCGGCCCGGCGGGGGGGGGGGGGGGGCCCGGGGGGGGGGGGGGGCGCCCCAGGGGCTTCGGGACCCGAGTGCTCCGCAGGGGTCGCAAGGAGGGCCCAGCACGAGGCGAGACTCTGCGCCCAGCCCCACAACTAGTCCCCGGGGGTCCTGGAGCGGGTCGAGAGCTGCCTGCCAGACCCTCCCTGGGGGAATGTCCAACTCCGCCTCCTTCTCCTGGGGGGGGGAGACTAGAACCAGAGCCATGCTGGAGAGCCAGAGCAGAACTGGGCCCTTGATGGGCTTAAAGCCCTTTTGTCTTCCACGAGCGGTACCCAGGCCCAGCAGGATGCGGCCTGTCCCCCCAAGAGCCGAGTCCCAGGGGGCACCCGCAGCCCACAGAGGAGGGGGGGGTCATCATGGGCTCCAGACTCCCACCAGGGAGGAGAAAACAGCCCCCCCCCCATGGGCAGCTGGAGCCCAAAGGGGGCCAGACCTGTTCCTTAGCAGGATCCCTCTGGCTTAAGGGGGGCCTGCTTGGCAGAAATGGAGGGGGGGTCCCTCCACAGCTGCAGACCCAAGAGCCACCCTCCCCCCTTTCCCTTGGGAAAGTGTCCTTGGACTGCAGCCCTGGGCCTCTCTTGCCATCTCCCCCTCTTGTGCCCATTCTTCATTTCATTTTTATCCCCCTGTAACCCCTTTCCCCCCCCCAGACAAATCCCAAAAGGAAAAGGAAAAAAACGAATCAATTACTGAATGAGTTTTATTTTAAAATATTCAAAATAGGGATAGAGAGTTTTCCTAAGTACTAAAGTGTTCAGGGAAATAAACCGAGATCTTTTTAGAAAAAAAAAAAACCCTAAATACAGATACTCTGCAGCAAAAAGGGGCCTCCGTCTGCGGAACAGGAAAGGGCTACAATTCTGAACAGGTGTGGACAAAGGGGAGGCCGGGGTGTGTGTGTGTGTGATAGAGTCGGCTGGGGGGGCTGCCCAGGCTCAATGGGGGGGGGGGGGGGGGTGGCGGCACAGAAGACACCACCGCCCTGCCCTGCCCTGCCCTGCCCTGCCCTGCCCTGCCCTGCCCTGCCTTCCTTCAGGGCTTGCTCCGTGCATTGGAGAAGGTCCGTTCAGTGGAAATGAACTGCTCCCCTTTTAAGGACCGCTCTGAGAAAAACAAACCTAATAAGCGATGGGGAAAAAAAAGTTCTGAAGAGGTGGGTCTCCCGGACAGCCACAGACTGGGGAGGGGAGGGGAGAGGGAGAGCCCCAGTTTCTGAAATTGAAACCCCGGCTGCCAGGGAGGCCCTGGGGACAGCCGTCAAACAAAACCAGGAAGGGTGGGGGGGGTGGCAGAGCGTTGCCAATTCACGAAAACAAGACCTTGCCGTGGCCAGCAAGAGGACCCAGGGGTGCTGAGGGGGGACGCAGCCCCACAGCCAAGCCAGGCGTCCAGAGTGAACCGGAAGAGCCCCCTGCCCTCCAGCGGGGGCGTTCTCAGGGGTGGGGTGGGGCAGGCGGCCCCCGCCGATCCCCCCCCCCTGCCTTGGCGGTTCCTTGAAAGAAAAGCTGAAAGCAAGGAGCCCCGTGAATCCAGGGGGCGAGAGCGCACACGGACCCTCGGCCCTTTGGGGTGGGGTGGCTGCACGGCCTCCTGCGGCGGCTTCCCTGGCAGGCCAGCGGGCCTCGCTGCCCGGCAGAACAGGGTCCCGAGTTGGCCCCCCTCGGCTGGGAAGGGGCTAAAAGCCGTACTTGGCCTGGGTCTGACGCCGGCTGAGCTTGTTCTCTGCCCAGCTGTTCTTCAGCTCCAGCTCACGCTCTTTTGCCTGGGGAGGGGGGCACAGAGATGGGTGGGGTCAGCAAAAAGGCCCACTTGGAGGCAGGGAGGGAGGCAGCCACGGGGGAGGGGGGAGGGGGCCTCACCTGGTGGATCAGGTAGGTGATCTGGTGCTTCCTCCGCTGCTGCCCGGTGGGCTGTTCCCCCTTTTTCTGAAGGGAAACAAGAAGCTCAGGGGCCTCGGCCCAAGAAGGCCCCCCACCCCTGCTGCTTGGGGGCCCCCGCCCAGACCTTGCTGAAGGACTTCATGCTCTGCTCCTCCGTCAGGGACTTGGTGAGCCACTGCTGGACTCCGCTCAGCTGGTCGTCGCCCCGGATCTCCAGGAAGCTGATCTCCTCTCGGCCGCGGTTGCGCTTGCCTTGCAGACGCTTGAACTGAGCGGGGCGGGAGAGGGACACGGGGGTCGGGGAAGGGTCTCTGCTGCCGGGCGCTGAAGGCACCCCGACCCCCTCCCCCAGCGAGCGGCCCGGCCAGGCTCTGGGCATCCGGGGCGGGGAAGCGGCCCCGCAAGAGGCTCTGTGGGGCGGGAGGGGCAAGGCTCACCGCTTCGTCGTCCATGAAGGAGGCGGGGGCGACGTCCGCGCTGCCCTCGGGGGGCTGCCCCAAGCCCGGGTCGTTCTCCGGGTAGTAGCCCGCGCCGTAGTAGCCCTGCAGGGAAAGAGCGGTCAGAGCGGCGCCCGGGACCCTCCCGCCAAACCCAAGCACCCGGAGCCCCGCAAGCCCCTCACCGCGTAGGGCGCGCCGTAGTCCGGGCCGGGCGCGGGGGGCCAGCCGGGCGGGGCGGGGCGGGCGCCGGGCGGCGTCTTGAACTCCAGCGGGGCGTCGGCGCCGTCCTGGCCGTCGGGCTCGGTGCCGGGCGGGAGGTCGTCGGGGAAGGCGGCGGCGGCGGCGGCAGCGGCGGCGGCAGC